GTCTGAGAATTTAAATGACCGTCAGTACCGTGCTGATTCCCTGAGGTCACATTTTTGTAACAAAAAAGCCGCCTCTTTGGCAAAATACGTTTGTCAGCCGAAAAGACCTAAGATTAGAAGCATTGGATCGCGAGTAGAATTACCTGGCAACCGGGGGCTTAGATTGTACTAGTGCGCTGCGGGAAGTGTGATAACACTGACGACAAAAACGTGCGATCTTCTGCTGTGTTGAGGCCTAACATCCAAAATACTGTCATTCTCTTTATGTTACACTACAAATACAATTCGGCGACTCGTGGGACGAAACGTTTTGTGAATTGCCAACTCGAGAACATGTGCATCCAGAAAAACCCCTTTGACTTTTTCGAATCGGTTATTAGTCATCACTGTTGAGGAGGCACGTTATCCCACCAGAGATGAACAGTTTAACCTATTGGACTTACCTGGCGATCAACCTAGAACGGAGAGAGCTGCACCAGAATTTGAATTGCAAACAGATCCAAGAGAGTACATGTCAATATAAATTAGCTCATTTGCCACGAGATACCTTTGGCAACACCCACATCAGAATCGAACCCAAACTCACTGGAACAGATGAACGGGACATGCACCGATCAGCCAGAGTGCAAAGAAACACAACTCTCGTGAGATCAATGTCCTCGTCCTTCATCGCATCAGTCAACTTTCCGCCAAGAGTGGTAATTGTATCTACGAATCACTGACGTAGTTTATGGCTGTGTGATAAGCTAAAATGTCACAGAGTTTTGTATAAATCCTGTCACGTTTTGGTGAAACTTTCAAATCCTTTCACCTTTGGCAATTATCTCATAAATAAAAGGTCTTTGAAATGATCGCCCATGGACACCTTAGACGCACATATTCTGTGCCATTTACAGAAAGAGCATTGAGACTGAATGTCGTATATACGTAAGTTGGGATAACTAAGAAATATATTGTAAGTATCGAAATTGCTTCAATTACCAGTTGTGACAAGGACAAGTGTTGCTCGCTCGTAAGTACTAATACTACATCATATGATGGCGTCTCGATTTTGAATAGGGCTGCATCGTTTATCACCTTTTCCCGTATGTGAGGGGACCACCTACTTCAGAGTGAGCATTTCAATTGACACGCGGTTATTATTTAACTTTTGTTGCTACAGCATGCTTCATGTCTGCAGAGTAGGGAACATATTTGGACAATGTTGCATTGATGAACGCCCTCATAATACCTGAGTGCATCATCGGAATTTGATCGTCTGTAGTAGAAGCTAACTAAATTATTGTTTTTACTTGCGATGCTGGCTCTTGTAATCTTGTAGTTTTATGAGCCCGAGTACGGCGTCATGGGTGGTTGAAGTCTTGAAAAAGACTATCCATTCAGTCCGATGGAGCGGACAGAATTGGATGAACTATGGGAATTGATGGAGATGGCATTCCATCATAAAGATGCGTTTCAAATTGCTATCGGTTTGGTGTCTGATCCAAATCGGACTCAGGTGCAATTTAATACTTGGGGCGATAACCAAAGAACTGCATAGCGATGAAGTTTGGTTAGTTGGTTTAAAATCGAAATGTGACACTTAGTATTTTATCAGAAATACCAGGATAACCTAAATACATAGCTACGATTTGACAGTCTAAAGTCGACTTACATAGGGGAGTACGAAATCATCGGTCATACGTGCTAGATATACAATGAACTGAACCGCTGATCTTTCGCATCGAATAACATCGAAATCGTCACGTTACGATGCTTGTAAAAAGTCACGAGTAGTGGTGCCCTGAAAGAGGTGCCTGTATCCATACAGTATAGAGTGACAAAGTGTCTGTTTTTATACTGTATCGTACTAAATTTATTTGGCTTTGATGTCGTACCAAACTTACGATACGACCCACCAAACGTCTAGGGCAGGGGAATTACTGCGATTAGAATAAAGAAAATGCCTCTATCACGCAATAATATGTGTATGCTTCGGTTTATTGTAGAAATCTTGAAAAAGCTATTAGGCGAGAGTTCCGTAAAAAGCTCCAATGAAATATTAAAGATATACGACAGAGAGCCTGTAACGGGTAAGCCTGTCACATGTAATTAACCCTGGATACTTGCTGTTTAGAACATTATCATAAAGACTGATAAGGCTTGTGAAAATTACCAGAAGGGGTAATTTCAGAATCAATCACCGATTAGATGATAGAGATCATTATATCAGCCAGCTGTAGCGGTCCAATCAACGATGGAAGCGCGCGATAATTGGTGAGCAAAACTTTAGCATACATTTTAGTGGATATTTACAGTTAAATTAGGACTCAAGCGTAGGTTAATGATAAGGACTCAATCATATTTGATACTTTTGCTTTTAGCAGCAACGAATCAGTTCCTAGTTGCTTTCCCTTCCTCTGCATTCTTAACAGAGGTAGCGAGGCACCACTCACACTGCTGTCGGTGATAGTTTCTCCACATTGGTTGTGCAGTGTGTTGCTCCGGTGTCCGTTACAGAGTCAGTCTAGGAGGGTTGAAGCTGCGCCTTTTGCATGGACTTTTTTGCTGACCGTAAAGACACGTCGATAGAACACTTTTATGCTATTTTTTTTTTTTTTTGTGCCATTATGTCTTTTTCGCATTTTCATAAATCCTTTGCTTTTGGTAAGGCATACACGCACAAAGACCTGGTGTGTAGGTTACTGCATATAGCGGGGCGATGTTCCCCAAAGGGCGGTATAACCGAACGCTTGATTCTAGTAAAGATGTGCAGTCACCACTTAGTATGGGTTTTTAAGTGCTCAATAATACAGAAATTTTGGCAAAACAATTGTTTCAATTATCATCATTTTTGCGGCACAATGATTGCGAAGCGTACACAAGCGGTCAGAACCAAGAATAATTGCGGCGTGTGATGGGGCTTTTGGAACCAATTCTAGGTCGTTTAAGTATTACTTCAGACCGCGGAGTATCAGCTAGCATCAGGTAGCCTATGGAACGTGCTAACATTCATGATCAGAGAAGATGTAAGTTGTAGCAATCCTTTGACGATAGTTAGATTTTGTTAGGGTCACTCTCTTGGTTTAATGTTCATCATGCCACTGTTTATTGTATGCATGCGTCTGAAGATCCATACGCCGCTCATGGGCTTCCATGTACTCAAATTATCGCTCATTCTAGAAGTTCGATCAGCATGAGCAAATGAGGATCTTGCATTAATGCAATACGTATGCTTCATAAGCCAACCTGTTGCTGCTTTAGGATGGGCACTTGAATTTGCCGATAGTTTACCATCAGTATTGCCTGTAACAAACCGCACCTACTTTGGCTTAAGTGACAATCAGTTGTTAATTTTTGTATTGGCCTAAGATTAAGTGCCTGAGATAGGCACAAGTGCAATACAGACAGGATGCAGTCAGTTCAATCTTCTTATAAAAATCAGCAAGCTGGTTTTTATTGCGAACGAGTGCGGATTCCATGCTAGCCTATTTTCTGTGCTTTCAGATTCTTGCGCTCAGGATTTGTGGTGGCAGTGAATGAAACAGGACGACGTTCCATATCTACTGATTAACTTCATGAAATAAGTTTACGATTGTCAGAGTGTCGGCACGGAATCTAAACATTAGTCGTTCCTGAACCTTGGACAGGAGGCCATGTTGCATTGAAACATCCCAAATTATTGGATGTCACAAGAGCCACAGTAGTTAGAATTTGTACGTGCTCAGCGATAAAGTACAGTCTTGATGTAATAAAAGAGTAGACTCATACCGTTTACGATGTCCATATCACGAAACACTTTTTACTGGCCATTCTTGGTCTCCCTATGTCTTTGTGGTGAATCTAAAACCCACTTACTCCTACCGAGAGCTTGTGGTTGAATCCGTCGTGGTACAGTCACGCGTATTCGACATGTCGCATCGAATGGATTGAATGGCGCATACTAAATCGGTTTGTGTACAACTTCACTACAACACACCAGATTTCTCTAAGTTAGACGCATTCAATTCTCAACGATGTTGCATAAAGGTGAGGACTCATTTGTATAACGAAGCGCTAAGTGTACACTTAAACCGATCGTAGTGCCGCTTAGCTCTAACATTTGACGTCCAATAGCCATGACGTGATACGCCTTACTAGTATTCTAGCTTTTGAAAATCTGCACGGGGCTATTGACGCCACATTTTCTGTGCCACTTTGCTCAGATGTCCAAAAGTGATACCCTGACTAATTTTACTGCCTACTAATCTTGTCGGTTTATTGATTTAACTTTACATGAAGAAAGTCACACGCAGAAAACTGATGGGAATTTGAAGCACAATTGGTACTTCAAAGCAGGATTTAAGTGCGCGGATCTTGTACCTATCATAAAATTTGAAGAAAACGTGTCAAAGGGACTGCATAGTATTGCAAATTTGTTGGTGATAAAATTACATACTGGAACGTTGTAATAGTTGGTAGAGCTAGAATAATATCGTCCGGTCATGTGGGACCACGAGCGAATTGACAGTCAACAGTGGGGCAAATCTGCATACAATTTTCTGTATTGTCGAAAGCAATGAGAGAGATGAATGTACGCTTAAAGAAACAGTGGTGAAGACATCGTTTGTATCTGAGGCTTTTTAGCTTCTAAAGTATAATCAAAACACAAAAAAACTCCTTGTATCTTTGAGTCCGCCCGTAGGCGTGGCACGCCCCGGCTTGCTTCTGGACGGACCTAACATCGCTTTTGTACCTTTGCGACAATAAAGATTGTTTCCTTTTGTTCTCGGCACATGAGCACTACCAATTTACGTGTATTCAATACGGAATTTTTGCTGACACGATCGCATCAAAGAACTAGCAAACGTGTACGGGAAATGCATCACAATCGATAGCTTCAGCTGTTACATGGGTCGATAATTTTCTTAGGCGCCTACCAAACGCTCTGCGGTATCTTCTTGCGCGTGCCAGTCCTGCAGCAAATACTGAGTAAAGGGTTGCGTGTTGCGTCGCATAGCTGGCCTCTGGTGTTGCCCTCCTCAAGATCCCTTCGATCGGAGATGCAGTCGGTATTCATAGTCATAGTCGACATACTGGCGATATTTTTCGCTTACAGTGTTACTGAAAACCTTGGCTCCACCGATCAATGATTTTAACTTTAGAGCATCAAAGTACTGATCCGGTGTGATATCTTCCTCGAGCAGCTTGTGAAAGTAATGATTTGGGGCGTATGTTACCTTGAACCTTTCTTTGAACGACTCCTCCTTCGCAATTATGCCTTTAGCACGGCAAACTTTTCGATGATATTCAATGAATCTCCGCACCTCCTCAGTGCTCTTGTAGACGCTGCTGACCATCCGCTTAAAATGGCCTTCCGATGTTTGAACCTCCGTCGGGATTAGTCGTTCATCTGCACCGTACGTGTTTGTTGCTGAACGCCAGTTTGTCCCTTTCGGCTTCTGACCGGTGATACAATCCTTAATCTTCGCCACCATCTCCATTATTCCACTGGATTCACCTACTATTTCATTATTGACGTTGTTGACCCGGACCATCCGTTCATCGTCCGTTTCCGGCTGAGTGGCTTGACCCAGATTCGGCGTCGTCAACTTGGTCAATTTTCCAGCTGTTGGAGCTAAAAGAGCGCCAGTAGCAGCGAATACGACGAGCGCAAGAACAAGGAGAGAGGTGCGACTGTCCATCAGCTAGGTAGCGTTGGAGTTGGTGTGGGACGCACAGGAATTCTAGACACTTCGTAGTGCGCGTAGCTAACGATACAGTTCTTTGGACTTTGAAAGCGACAGTGTATCGGGGTCACGCGACGATTGGTACAAGTGGTACAACAATGTGTCAGTCACTCCTCCGCCCCACTTGTTTAGGATATTTACAAATACACCCCAATATTTACTGAATGCACCCATGTACCACACCCATACCACACCACAATATGGTTTGTACGACAAACATCGCGCCATCGTGCCTCTGTACGACGACTGTCGTACAACATTTTGTCTAAATCGCACATATGTTATAGGAATTACCAAACAAATTTTTGTTAGCTGTCAATGGAAGACTAAATGTCTTTGCCTTCGCAAACGATTTGATCGACAATCACGAAAGCACTCTTGACTACATGTCAAATACATCTGGGGCGCTAATTGTATCTTTTAGAAATGGCAAGGGCCAGGTTTCAGTCGAGAAAGGTGCAAGATTGATTAAAAAAGGTTCATGTGTCTCGAACGTAATTGGATGCGTCTGTTGCAGCGAAAACCACCTCTACAAACACGAAATTGCATTATGTAGTTATATGTATATTTGATCGAGCCTATCTTGACACTGTCAGGACCGCGTTATAAGCTGTAAACGAAAGATTGATTGGTAAATCACTTAACATCTAAACGATGGACGCCGATAATTGTGCGATAGTGGTCGTACAAGTTACGGTGGCGCGATATTGTCATATTTTGGTTTGATATGCTTGTAATTTATATGATTTATTTAGTAAAAAGTGTGGTGTAGGAAGAGTACGTCGGGTCGTCGGTCAGTCGTTTGCGAAGGCGAAGATGTTTAGTCTTCCGTTGCAAGCTAACCGAAATTTCTTGGTAATTCCTATAACATTTGTACGATTGAGACAAAATGTTGCGCGATAGTCTTCGTACAGAGGTATGATGGCGCGACGTTTGTCATACAAACCATATTGTGGTATGGTATGGGTGTGGTATATGGGTGCATTCAGTGAAAAGTGGGGTGTATTTGACAAAATTCCTAATTTATGGATTACCTCGCGCTCGCATTTTTGACACACATTGTACTTCTTAGACGAAAATACCACCAGCGTGAAGAGCTTATTCTGAAGCTTTTTATACAATTTTTACAGCCCATTTAACTGCAAATATAAACGAGATAATCTAGTATTTGTCTGATCGTTTTCAGAGGTTTTGAGATATTGATGTCGTGAAGTCAGAAGGTGATAAATAGCTCAAACAAGAAGTTTTAGTCATCCAGAAAGCGGCATACCAATTTGGTCAACATCACACTACTGAAAAGTGAAGAAGTGATGTTAGCAAAGGTGAAAAATTTCTTTGCACTTAAACGAAATGTGTCAAGAGGCGGTTCTTATTACATGATATCATCTAATCGAAGAAACCATCTTAACCATCGTTTTTATTCTCTCTCATGGTCCAGTATAGAAATTATTCGAGTGAAGATAAATCTTTTAGAACAAGCACAAAAGCGATCAACAACGGCAAGAGATAAGCTCCATGTGTAATGTTTTTTAAACATGCTGCAATTTTGAATTTTATGTAACTCCTGTTTGCGCTGCCGAGCGATCACTTTCATAAACTCAAATTACAATGTCGGTGAATCTGACTAAACAGAATCAGTTTTCACCTAGTCATTAAATTTGCTCTAGTTCACCTGACTTTTGAGCTCAAAAAGAATGGGACAGACTACCACTGCACAAAAAAATTTTACCCAGATTTTATGTAGTACGTTGTAGTTGATGGATTAATTATAAGTTTTCATTTAAATAATTATCGCAACGATCGTACGAAGTATGAAGATATCAATGATGACGCCTTTTCCATCATTTAGTTCGGAATACGACGTTCTAATGCCAATAATTTTAATATACAAGGGTACAGTAATGTAGTTCAATGGCCATGATTTAATTTGAGAGAGAGATAGATCGCATCTTAAGCAAAAAAACAAAACCAAATTAGCATTGTGTGCTAGTAACTCCTGGAATGGTTTGATGCTTAGTGAGCTAGTTGTTATGAGTCCTTAAATTTTGACGTCGCTTAAACAAATGACTCTCTTAATAATATCACCCTAAGCGTCAAAAACTAGGTGATTGTAACCTAAAAAAATTTCTTCGAGTTACTCGTAAATTATTTAAATTCATATCATTCAAATAAAAATATATAATTATTTATTAAAAACATTCATTTTTTTGAGTTATGAGTGATGCAGATACGGTGCAGACAGTGCTTTAATGCTTCACAGAAAAGATTTGCAAAGGAAAGTGCATGCTGCCTTTAGACGAAAGCACTTATACAGCATTTCTTTAGGCTATGCTCTCCAGTCCTCTCAACATAGATGTACAATTATGCTTCGCAAAAATGTGCAGACCTGATTCAAAGCGGGGTTCGATATAAAATTGTTCTGTTTAGCTACACCACTGCGTTGTGCGCACATTCTTTCAGCCGATTAAATTCGTTATTGTTTTCCCCTTACGTGAACTCTTACACACTTAGTAAGCGTCAGCGATCATTGTTAAATGTCTCCGTAGATACAAGTCCAAAATATTTCTTTTTAGTTGGATAAGTAATTTCATTTGATTTGAAAAGGAAAAGGCTTAAAAAGCTCTGTTCATCAAAGCTTATACATCATAGTATAAAGATGGAAAGGTGTAGCTACGAGCATTTGTGTGCAAGGTCAATTTCAGACATATTTAAGCTTACTTGTGCTATCCGTTTATATGCGTGTGTGTGTGAATAACGCGCATAACTGTAGGAAATTATTAGTGTTGACGTACAGGTTCACAGATAATTCAAGGTGTGGCAACTAGAAAACGACGCCGATTGTACCGCTCACACCGATTTCAACCGCCCCCTCAAAAGACAAAGAAGCGGAGTATTGGTAACTCAAGTGTACATTTACAGGACTCACGTGGATGAGTGGTGTAGAATGTACTAGTCGATGCGGACAGCTCATAAATGCAGAAACCATGACATTCCACCTCTTCTTTCTATACGCACAGCCTGTTCTATCCGACTAACAGTAACACGTTGCAAGAAGTGCAATATAATATCACCTTCCTCATACTTTAGGTATATGTGTCTCATAGGTTCAACTCTCTAACGCGGTCACCAATTTCGACTGTGAAAAAAAGGATAAGACTCAAGCGTTTCAATACCCGCACGTGATTGGATCAGATTTGACCAAGTGCGAACAGATGGAAACCAAACACAATCTTGACAAAACGGGGTAGATAAACGCTTGCACCTCCGGTAAACAACAGCAAATGCGTAAAATTTATAAATTGCACGTAATTTAGCGAAAAAGAACAGGCTACGGTCGCTCAGTGGCGGACAAAGGTCCCAAAAAGTTTTCCCTTCTACCTCTATCAATTACGTGTCGTCTACCCCACTTTTTAGCCGGCGGCGAAACCAAGCAGGAGCAAACACCCCCTTCTCTTTCCTCATAACTGACATGCACAATCTATACGTACCTCTTTTTTAAAAGAGAGTAAAAGTGCCCCAGATAACGAGAAAATGAAAATGCCTTATGTCCTAGTATACTCAAGTCAATCGAGCACTTATACCTACTTTGTGTTTTAATGCACCATCCACTTGCAATGCGCTGATCCGTCGGACTTACTAAGACAGATGAGTTTAATTATGGAAGCGCAATTATTGACACAAAATAGAGATCTTACACCATGCTTAAGTAGCAACGCTACATAACTTCATACAGATTTGCAAAGGGCAATAAAAGGCTGCAGACTAGGGGCCGCAAAGAAGCTAGGGCTAAATTTACCGGGTGTATACACCCTTGAATATTTAAAAGCGCCATTGGTTACTACCCATTCACTTTATTATAGTACGTTTAGAGGTTATGTAGCACATCGCAACAAAATACCACGGGGTTGACATCAAAATTAAATGTTAGATGGTGCAGTGGAGATACACAGCTCTTAGTCAGAGGAAGACTGACGACTCTACCAGTCACTTATTTTTACTGAACTAAGTTCCTATTAGTTTATGAGTCTTTAGTACTTATAACTAATTTAAAAAGACTAGGAGAGTCTTTAAGCTTGTAGGGCTTCTACACTGGCTCAGGGTTAACAACGATTCCAAGAAACGTACTTAAAATGTGCTCTCGAGCGTAGAGCTCAAGTTGCTGCCACTCGTGACGACCTACCGAGTTTGAAATAGACACGTGTCAATCTAAGATGAAGGTAGAATTGACATGTTATCTGTCAGTTTATCTAAAATAAACCTCATTTAACTACCTAGAATCAAGATAAACGAATTTGTATGGTAATCTTTAGCCTGTAAAAGATCGATGGATGTCTAGCCAATTTTTCATCAATGAATGTCTGTGCTTACCATCCACATCAATTATCACAGGTAACATCTGGTATTGCATTTCGCGTGCAAGAAATTCAATCATTTCGGGCGGCACCGATCGTGTGACCCCGTTACCGATCGTGTGACCTTGTTACCCCCCACAAGAATCAAGTAATTAAGTACCGTCAATACGAATCATCGTTTCATCGAGGCTATTGGCGAACAGTAATCTCACATTTTGTTCAACACTTCAAACATGGCAACTTCAAATGAGTCTTCGGCTTTTTCCAACTTCCTCGGCATTAAGGAGGATAAATTGGACTATGACAGTGATGCCGGGTGTAAATTTAGCACGCCCGTACAAGTTGAAAGGTCGAGACAGTCACCCAATACTTTTCCGCATGTAGTGCTGCGAATGATCTGACAGCGGTGCACACGACACACGGTACGGTGTCACAATCATCACGAACCCACTCGACGAGAAGCAGGAGAAGATTATCCAACAACGGAAGAGCTCTTAGATAAGATATCAGATTGTGTAGACACTCAAAAGTCATACTGAATACGTGTTTACACCTCTCAGTTTGGTGAAACTTCTCCGACAAATGACTATTCGGCAGCCAATA